ATGAGATAATGGCTGAGAATATTCTCAGAATAATGACATGTCAAAACAGAGACACATTTTTTGAGAACCCCATCAACATAAACAACAAAACATTAGCGGCAACAAGCAGAGAAAATGCTTAAGCATATCGTATTCAAATTCGCGAAAATGAAAAATAAAGAGAAAAGTTTGAAAGGAATTTTGATTAAAAGATATTACATTCAGGTATAATATTAAAAATTACATCAGACTTATCCTTAGAAACAATGCAAGCCAGAGAAAATGTAATGATATTCTTAGAATACCTCGAGAAAAAAACAAATCAAGCACAAATTCCATAGGCAGCAAAATAACTCTTAGAAATGATGGCAAAGGAAATTTTGTTATCAAGTCCAAAGCTGAGATGATCTGTTGCCAGCAGAGCTGCAGTATGTGAAATAAAAGGAAATTCTTTATACAAAAGGGGTATAATATAGACAGAAATAAAGAAATGAAAAAGTAAAGAGCTTTGGGAATGATAAAAATTAATTTGTAAAACTTTTTTCTTTAATTTTTTTGCTGATTTATTAAATATTTTAGGTTGTACAACATGATTTTTTAAGGCATACAATGTGATGATTTAAGGTATATATTATGAAATGATTACTACAATTAAGTTAATTAATATATCTCACTTCACATAGTTAACATTTCTTTGTGTATGTGATAAGATCATTTAAGGTTTACTCTTTTAGCAAATTTCAAGTACACCATATAGTATTATTAACTATATTCACTGTATTTTGTGTTAGAGCCTCAGAACTTACTCATCTTATAACTGAAAGTTTGTACTCTTCAATGATCATTGCCCCATTTCCCCCATCTTTTAGCCCCTAGTAACTACCATTCTATTCTCTGTTATTATGAGTTTGATTTTTAAAAATTCTATATATAAGTGAGATCATGTAATACTTGTTTTTCTGTGTCTGGTTCATTTCACTTAGTGTAAGTTCCTCCATGTTCATCCACGTTGTTGCAGGTAGCAAGGTTTCCTTCTCTTTTAACT